CTATCTATCTATCTATCTATCTATCTATCTATCTATCTATCTATCTATATATATATATATATATATATAATGATGTTATCTCGTGGATAAGTGCAAGCCAACAATCAAGCTTCTGCCATGTTATTTATTGTTATTTATTTATCCTTATTGTCAGGCTGAGAATGGGAATGACAGATAAAATGCCAGGTGTGGGACTGGAATGATGGCCCTCAATAAGCCAAGGGTTGAGATGAAGGGCATGATTTTCACTCAAAGGCATTCATTTCTGTGCCCAGAAACAATCTTTCCAGTTCCCATGATCATGCTTTGGTTCCTTACATCTTAGTTACATATGGGGCCAGGAGACATATTGGCTCCATATGTATGCTTTGGCTCTTTCAGACCCAGCCCTGTCATTCCAGTCTCACACTTCCTTCTGTTTCCACCACCAACATGTTAGCATCAGCTTGGAAGCTGTTATTCTAGTCATTGGTCTGTGATTTCAGTGACAGTCTTGGTCTGGACTTATATTTAATGGCCTGTCTTTAGATATTATGGAGAAAGAAGCACCTTCACCAATCTCATTTCATTGCAGTTCTAAAATGGACATTCTTATACTTCATTTTAGAACAATTTATGTATAAAGGCCAGGAAGATCTTAGTACAACTCTATTTAGCATGCCAGATACACCTTTTACAAGATTGTGGGGCCCCTCAGACAGTCACTCATGACCTAGTGACCTTGTGCAACATGGTCTACACAGGGCTACTCTTAAAGACCACCCAAAAGCTTCAACTGGTCCAGAATGTGACAACATCAACAATAATAGGCATGCCTTGGTATGCCCATGTAAGACCTCTATTCCACAAGATACACTGGTTATTGGTTTGCTTCCAGATGCAATCCAGGGTGCTGATTGTTACCTACGTAGCCCTATATGACATAGGGTCTGTTATTTCAACATCTCTCTCCTATAACATCTTCATTGCTAATTGTATACTGCAGGGTTGACACATTCAGGGTCCCTTCAATTAAATAATGTCATTTATTGGGACCCTTCTCTATAGGAGTGCCTGCTCTCTCTAACACGGTGTCCCCTTAGATCTGCTGTTGTGTAGTAGAGCTGTGAGAACAGCCTGGAAGAGTGTGAAATCCCTCACCATATTTATCTTTTATTGAGTTTATTGCAATTGCTCTAATTGTTAGGAACCATAGACTCAATTAGAGTCATTATTACTACTGTTATTATATTGTTAGAGTGAATGCTGGGTGTAAATAAATGATAGTAAATTATTTTCCATTGAATTCATTATTTCTGAATTTTTTGCTGATAGGAGAAGCTCAGATGGAATTCTCTGCTTCACGTACCAAAATGCCAGTCTTTCAGTATGGCCAGAGTTCATTATATTTCCAAACTAATGCATGAAAGATATGTTTGACTTTTTCATACTTTCTGACACTGTATTCTTAAATTTAAATAAGTTGTCACAAAGTCTCCATGTGGGTTCGGGGATGCGACACTCTTTTAACCTTAGATTATCTAAAGTTGTCAGCAACTGAACCCAGATCTTCTACATCAAAACATATCCTTTAATACAACAATACAAATAATACTTTGTCCCCGAAGAAAGAATTGGGAGGGACTGTTGCTTTGATGGTATAAATGGGCAGTAAGGGATTCTTTTTACCACATAACTCTAGCTTCAAGTGATATTATGTGAGAGGAAAAACAGCATGTGGCAATTTAAAAAATATATATAAAATGTTTCTTTATTTTTGATATTAAATCCAGTTTTATTAAAATGTGCATGGGTGTTCTTGCAGTAGGATATGAGTCCTAATCCATTTGCTGTAAAGTTACCAAATGTCAATCTCTTCTATATATTTAAGGGCTAACCTGAAATAATTGACAGACTTATTTCAGCCCAGCTATTGATATACACTCTTTAAGAAAACTAACAACTCTTTCAATATTTATTGACTAATTTTTGGTATTGGGGGGTTGTATTTGTACACCTAGGTCTCACCAAGTATGCACCTCAAACGACCAATGCCAAGTTCACAATTTTGAAGGACAGCAGCAGGTTACTTTCTGTGATGATGAACCTGACGGAGTGGGCTGAAACAAAATGGACAGATCACTCAAATTCCTCAACACAACTGCCTTCACCATCTTGGGGCAGCAATGACTCCTTTCCTTTCCAAGGGGATCTCCAGGAGATAATCCACACAGCCACTTTAGTTACATGTACCTTCCTGCTGGGCGTCATTTTCTGCTTAGGTTCTTATGGCAACCTTATTGTTTTTTTGTCCTTCTTTGACCCAGCTTTCCGGAAGTTCAGGACCAACTTTGATTTTATGATCCTCAATCTGTCTTTCTGTGACCTTTTCATCTGTGGAGTGACTGCCCCCATGTTCACCTTTGCTCTCTTTTTGGATTCTGCAGCTGGCATCCCTGATGCTTTCTGTTTTACCTTCCACCTTACCAGCTCTGGGTTTATCATCATGTCCCTCAAGACAGTGGCTGTTATTGCCCTTCACCGATTAAGCATGGTGTTAGGGAAGCAACCCAATCGGACTGCCTCCTTCCCTTGCACTCTACTGCTTACCCTGCTCCTCTGGGCTACAAGCTTTACTCTGGCCACTCTAGCCACCATGAGGACCCATAAATCTCGTCTTTGCCTTCCTATTTCCAGCCTGATCAGTGGTGAGGGAAAGATCATCCCTTACTTGTATGTTATTGACTTCATCTGCTGTGTGACAGTGGTTTCAGTTTCTTATATCATGATAGCACAAGCCTTGAGGAAAAATGCCCAAGTGAGAAAATGCCCCCCCATCATCACAGTTGATGCCTCCAGGCCTCATCCTTTTGTTGGAACACTTGCTACTGGTTGTGCTGATGGGGTACAGTGCACTATGCCAGCTCTGTATAGAAATCAAAACTATAACAAGCTGCAACACATCCAAACACATGCATACATGAAGAACTTTGGCCAGCTCTCCGCATCTGCAGCCAGCAGATTCCAATTGGTGTCCATGATTAATTTGTCCACAGCCAAGGACTCTAGAGCTGTGGTGACTTGCATTGTTATTGTTCTTTCTGTTTTAGTTTGCTGCCTTCCACTGGGCATATCTTTGATACAGGATGTTTTGTCCAAGAACAATGATATTGTGCTTTATCAATTTGAGTTGTGTGGATTTACGCTGTTTTTTTTAAAGTCTGGATTGAATCCTTTTATATATTCCCGTAACAGTGCTGGTTTAAGAAGGAGGGTCCTTTGGTTTATACAGTACTTGGCCTTTGTTTTTTTCTGTTGTAAACAGAAAACACGGCTTCAAGCTGTGGGCAAAGGGGGCCTGGAGGCCAACAGAAATAAATCATCTCATCATGAGACCAACTCAGCTTATATGTTATCTCCAAAGCCTCAGAAAAAGTTTGTGGACCAAGCGTGTGGCCCTAGTCGCTCTAAAGAAAGTGTACTGAGTCCTAAGGCTTCTGTTGGCCATTATTATGGAGGAGGGCAGAGTAGTTCCACTCCCATGAATACCCGCATTGAACCTTATTATAGCATTTATAACAGCTGCCCTTCTCAGGAAGTAAGCACTCCCAACAGCTTGCAACCAACAAACTCGCCATTCAGATATGCCAACTCCTACATTGCCATGCATTATCACCCAACAAATGACTTGGTGCGAGATTATGACAGTACTTTTGCTAAGCAGATACCAGTGCCCTCGGTGTAGCTGGTGGGAGCCAGCAGTGCCCAATGTTCTACCATAATGGTGGCTATCCTATCTTGGCAAGTTGTGCCATGAGTCATCCATATTATATTGTATCACTATTGCATGTGCATGAATGTTCAGCTCCTCCATGTGTTATGTTGGCTTTGCTTCAGTCAGGCAGCAGCCGGGCTAAGAAAGATAGGACTGCAAGCTTCATGGCTTAGCCAGGCTTCTAAGTTCTGTATGTGTCTTGCAAATTACTGTCCCATATTCTGCACATTTCATTAGTAGTGTTTCTCCTTTTTAAAGATTTCTGAGTGTCTACAGTATTATAACACCCAGAAGATTTTTTTTCAACTCCAACAAATATCATTTTTAAAAAAAAGTCTGCTACCACAAATCACCGCTGTTTTATGTTTTATAATTTAATCAGGTTTTGCTTGTTTATATAGCGAGTGCTTGAAAATGTAGGTTTTACAAAGTTGCTTTTTAAAACATTTCTACTAAGAGTTATGTCTATTATTAATTTAGCATGGAACATATTTTTGCAGAAGACAGTTATGTTAATTATGTACAAAGATAAAAGTAAGTTATTAAATCTAGTATCCAGTTCAGAGTTGTGCGATTTCTTTTGTGATTCCCTCTCATTCTATTGACATTTGCTTAGCTGATCACTTTTAACTTTTTCAAAAACAGAAACTGAATCAAAGCCAATGTAGATGGAGTACTGGGAGATATAATATTGTCTCACAATAAATTATTTTTTTTGTTTATGCCACTAAACTTTTCATTACTTTGAATAACTGCAGCCCTTCTCAGTCTTAGGTCTTTTCCTACTACAATGACATTTAAGACTCTTAAGGCATGTAAGATACTTCTTGGCAATATTTTTTTTCCTGTTCTGTCTTCATGATGTTGCCTTCATCTCATCTCTATGTACCTTAAAACTAAAACCATTCTTAGCAGTTGTTCCAGTATTAGTTTACTGTTTTTCCTTCAAGCAGGCAAACCATGGCAATTTTGCTATGGGTGCAATCTGCTGGGCTTTATTTTATTGATATCAGAGTAAGATGAATGCTAATGGGTTGGGATAGCCAGTTTAGACTATTGCTGGCACTCTTTCAGTTCCTGGACAATCTCCTACAGAAGCAATCTGCTTCAGTTATCATCTTAAAATCTCAAGTAGCTACAAAGCAACTAAACTGAAGCAACAATAGTGGGCTGCATTGGCAAATGAGCAAGAAAAATATCCCCCCAGTTTCATTTCAGTCAAAGTTCCAGTGACTTTCAGCTTTTCAGTATGGGTTTAGCCCTTTTGTAACAGCATTAAACCTATCCCCAAAGGAACCAAAAAACGTTACCTACCAGTCAGGTTGGTTTTGGTCATGAGTTAAATATTATTCCAGAATACCACACTAGTCAAAACAGTTGTACAAAAACAAAGCAAGACTTTAGAGATGCCTAAACCAGTGGGTTTCATCTCTTAAAATTTGTCTGCTCCCCATGCTATGTTAGAAATATGTGATAGATACAATACAATACAATAGCAGAGTTGGAAGGGACCTTGGAGGTCTTCTAGTCCAACTCCCTGCCTAGGCAGGAAACCCTATACCGTTTCGGACAAATGACTATCCAACATTTTCTTAAAGACTTCCAGTGATGGGCATTCACAACTTCTGGAGGTAAGCTGTTCCACAGATTAAAATTGTTCTAACTGTCAAGATTTCTCCTCAGCTCTAAGTTGCTTCTCTCCTTGATTATTTTCCGCCCATTGCTTCTTGTTCTACCCTCAGGTGCCTTGGAGAATAATTTGACTCCCTCTTCTTTGTCGCAACCCCTGAGATTTTGGAACACTGCTATTATGTCTCCCCTAGTCCTTCTTTTCATTTTTTTCATAAACTAGACATACCCAGTTCCTGCAACCGTTCTTCATATGTTTTAGTCTCCAGTCCCCTAATCATCTTGTTGCTCTTCTCTGCACTCTTTCTAGAGTCTCCACATCTTTTCTACATTGTGGTGACCAAAACTGGATGCAGTATTCCAAGTGCGGCCTTCCCAAGGCATTATAAGACCTAGAGGGTAATGGCAGGTA